GATATCAGAAATCGAGTCGACGCTTTATGTTGAGAATCACATTACACAGCTATCAGGTGGGGCAAGACGCTTTGCAGCCCTAAATGGCGTGCAATAAGTAACATGGCCGAATGTCCTGCATGCTAATTTACACCAGAGGACCATGATTGCCATTTTGTTCCAAGATCAGTGATAATCTACTCATTTCTCGGCTGGTTACACCGAAGCACAGTGACGTGAATTACTTGCCCAAGAGCAATTAATAGGACCCAAGAAAATGATTTATACCGCGCTCTGGTTTGAACCCAGCACCTTCGAAGTTCAAAGTAGTTCATATCGCCGGCATCACTTGGTGTTAGGCAACTACTGTATGACTGTTATGCTCAGCTCATTTAAATTGCTATTGCAGATCACACAACTTTTTAGTTCGTTCTTTCCCGGATGGTTGAATCAGAGTGCTTTTTTGAAACATGAAACTCTTCTCCTTTATTACGTATAGTTCAAAGTTAGGAATTTCTGCTTCAGAATAAAACAATTTTAATTCCTTATATTCAGCATCTTAATTACGTTTTAAAATGCATGAAGATGCTATTAACATGTTTAACGTTGGGGCTAAAATTTCATCCGAATTTTCAATATTGTTTTAATGACAAATAAATCGGCCTCGTTAAACTAGCATTTTTGTTTGCGATCGTCTAAGGACTTCATTTATGGAGCCTCCGCGAGTGGGTGTCAGAAACGGTTGAAATTACTGAGCTATCAGAAGTCAAATCTCATTCGCGGCATTAAAATTTTTCTCGTTAATTTTTTAGAGCAAGTAACTAAGAGTTTACAATATTGTGCTTCGATGCAACTACCTGAGAAAGTGAAATGCAACTTGTTGAGCTGTGAATAATGGAAACATCTTGATGCTCTGATCTGGTCAAATCCAAGGGTGCGAGAACTGTGACTGCATGGTCTAATTTGCCTGCTTCAACGCTGCAGTTCTTCTTGACCCACCTGTAGGCTGAATGTTTAGTACGATGACTGCCAAAAAGTATGAACACTATTTTATTTCCAGCATGTTATCGAGTGGAACAAATATTCACTAGTCATTACTTAAGCTGTCTATATACATGATCGAACGATAGACAGTTCTGAACGTTACGCATGTCTCTGACGTGACAAATGTGAATGACCGATAAACCGGATTCTTGCCCTGCTGCGAAAGTGAAAACCTCAGTCTTCTGCTTAAATTATCGCTGAATTTATCACAGCATCGCATCTCCGGATTCAAAGTGTACTGAACAAACTGAAAATGTGGCCTAGCACCATTTAATGATTCACTGTTAGACACGGAAATTTGACAAACTACAAAGAGCGACCTAATATGAAAAGTGGCCAGAATCACGAAGAAATATTATTGTTATTGTCATGCAATTGGGCTATCAAAGTCAAGGACCGAATACCCAGATGAATGATGTCTGGGCATCGTGCAACCGGGTCACGAAATGTTACGAAAGTGCAACCCGGCCGCTCGCGGGGGCGTCCAACCGAATAATGTGAAACAATGAAGAAATATTACATCCGTTCCTAAAGCTTACCATTAGTTTTGGGTCGAATGGGCGGCTTCTCCATGAGGATATCTCCATAGGCTTTCCTCTACAAAAGATGGACACGAGTCGTCATTGATTTGCAAGTGTTACCATGCCAGGCGGTCTATAAAATGAACTCATCAATATTTTCGGTATGCCGCTTGATCATTTGCGAATGCTTTTGGGGCAAAATTCTGTGTTCTGCATTATATCACTCTGGATAATCAGTTGTGCGGTTGATCAAGATGAATTGCTGCCCCTTAGATGGGTTTTATCAGGAGCCGTACATCTCGTTCATTTTGACATGACAATACGAAAACACCTGCTTTCCTTGCTGTTCACATGTCAGCCAACTGCTTTACTCATTTCGTGGCTGCTGGATCGAAGCAAATTGAGTGATTTCCATGTTCAAGGGAATTTGTAGTTAAGGAAATTGTTTCCCTTTTATTCCAACTCTGTACTTTAAGAATTCGATGCCGACCTCTTTCCACTCTTGCCGGCTTGTGTCCCAATTTTTCTGTTGCTCCACCTCTGTATCTGCAATTCTCTGGCTTCTAATCGCCTGAATAAACGACTGTAGTTTTGATTCTGTGATCTAGAGAAGAAGCTGCTCTTAAATGAGGGTCTCGCGGATTTTTGTATTTTGAACCATTTTCAGCTTCATCTTGTCAGCTGTTAAAAAAAAATTTGCTCTTTGAGTCTCAGATCGCACACGTTCAGTAAATATCTGGCATTCATGACAATAAATTATGGCATATTCTTGGACAGCAAAAATTTTTCAGTCGGTCAATTTCCATGGCTGTTTGTTTTTTATTCACCATCCGGCGCCGACACTTAGGCTTAGACCACTTAA